CTAGGATAATTCTGAATATGTCCCTGCCCTGGCATAATCATTAGAAATACCCCTTGTACCACATGGTACTCTGATTTAAACCACATATTATATAGTTTCTCTACTTAAGATCTTATAAAAAAATCTGGAGACAAGTCACTTGTCTAAGAAAATACATATAACGGATATAACTGATTAATTATTGGTATTGGCCAGGTGCAGTGGCTCAGTAATCTTAGCACTTTGGGAGGTTGAGGCGGGCAGATCATGAGGTCAGGCGATTGAGACCATACTGGCCAACATGGTGAGAGGTCAAACAGGCAGATAGATACAGGGTACAGATCTAGAACTGGAAACAAGGTGTAGGTTGAAGATATAAACAAGAATTATGGGCTGGGCACAGTGGCTCATGCCTGTAATCCCAGCACTTTGGGAGGCCAAGGCAGGTGGATCAGTTGAGGTCAGGAGTTTGAGACCAGCCTGGCCACATGGTAAAACCCAATCTCTACTAAAAATACATTAAAAAGTCAGGTATGGTGGTGTGCACCTGTAATTCCAGCTACCCAGGAGGTTGAGGTGGGAGGATTGCTTGAACCCAGGAGGTGGAGGTTGCAGTGAGCTGAGATCATGGCACTTCACTCCAGCCTGGACAACAGAATGAGACTCCATTTTAAAATAAATAAGTGAATAAAATAAACAAGAATTATGATATATATATAGTAGGCTCCCTTATCTACAGTTCTAAGACCCCCTGGTGGATACCTGAAACCACAGATAGTATCAAAAGTAATATAAACTGTGTTTCTTCCTGTGCATACATACATACCTCTGATAAAGCTTAATTTATAAATTAGATACAGTAAGAAATTAACAATAATGAATCATAAAATAGAATAATTATAACAATATACTGTTCACAATCTCATAGGTAGAATCGTCCCTTTTTTTTAATTTTTTTTGAGATGGAGCCTTCTTTTGTTGCCCAGTCTGGAGGGCAATGATGATCTCAGCTCACTGCAACCTCTACCTCCTGGGTTCAAGTGATTCTCCTGACTCAGCCTCCCGAGTAGGTGGGATTATAGGTGCCCGCCACCACGCCCAGCTAATTTTTTTATTTTTAGCAGACACAGGGTTTCACTATGTTGGTCAGGCTAGTCTCGAACTCCTGACCTCAGGCAATCCACCTGCCTGGGCCTCCCAAAATGCTAGGATTACAGGCATGAGTTACCATGCCCAGCTGATAGACTCCTTCTTACCATAAATCTTAGCAACCTCAACATATGATTGATTCTTTCTTTCATTGAGACTTTTTACCTTTTCACCTAAAGGGAACATCTCATAGCTTCTCTTTGGAATATGTGAATTACCGGCTGGGCGCAGTGGCTCACGCCTATAATCCCGGCACTTTGGGATTACGAGGTGGGTGGATCACCTGAGGTCAGAAGTTTGAGACTAGCCAGGCTAACACAGTCAAACCCCATCTCTACTAATAAGACCAAAAACCGGCAGGGTGCGGTGGCTCATGCCTATAATCCCAGCACGTTGGGAGGCCGAGGTGGGTGGATCATGAGGTCAAGAGATCGAGACCATCGTGATCAACAAGGTGAAACCCTGTCTCTACTAAAAATACAAAAATTAGCTGGGCATGGTGGCGCACCCCTGTCATCGCTTGAACCCAGGAGGTAGGGGTTACAGTGAGCCAAGATCACACCATTGCACTCCAGCCTGGTCAACAACAACAAAAAAGGAATATCTGAATTACCAACACCACTATTCTTGCATTTTGGGGCTATTTCATATAAGGGTTCCTTGAACACAGGCACTGTGATACCATGCAAGTCTGATAACCGAGATGGCAGTGTGTGTGTGTGTGTGTGTGTGTGTGTGTGTGTGTATCTGTGTGTGTGTGTGTGTTGGTGTGTTGAGACAGATTTTTGCTTTTGTTGCCCAGGCTGGAGTGCAATGGGGTGATACCAGCTCAACACAACCTCTGCCTCCCTGGTTCAAGCAATTCTCCTGCCTCAGCTTCCCAAATAGCTGGAATTACAGGCATGTGCCACCACACCCAGCTAATTTTGTATTTTTAGTAGAGATCTGGTTTCTCCATGTTGGTCAGGCTGGTCTCCAACTCCTAACTTGAGGTGATCTGCCCGACTCGGCCTCTGGAAGTGATGAAATTAGGCCAGGCACTGGGGCTCACACCTGTAATCCCAGAACTTTGGGAGGCCAAGGCGGGTGGATCACGAGGTCAGGAGTTCAAGAGCAGCCTGGCCAACATGGCGAAACCCCTTCTCTACCGAAAATCCAAAAATTAGCCGGGCATTGTAGCAGGTGCCTGTAATCCCAGCTACTCGGGAGGCTGAGGCAGTAGATTCAATTGAACCAGGGAGGCAGAGGCTGCAGTGAGCTGAGCTCGTGCCATTGCACTCCAGCCTGGGTGACAAGAGCAAGGCTCCCTCTCAAAGAAAAAAAAAATTTTTAAAGAGATGGCAGGGGAGGTGTGGGAGATGGCATGGTAGTTCACTGTGCTGTTGTTTCTCCCGAAATCCTGAGCTCAAGTGATTCCTCTGCCTCGATATCCGAAACTGCTGGGATTATAGGCCTGAGCCACCACACGAAGCCAAAAATTTTCTTTTGTTTAGAAAAAACATTTCTCTTGAAATCCACATCTTTCTATTCCTACCACTCATCATTTTCTTTTACAGAATGTGATAAATGTAAGGAAATTTCTGACATTCCTCTAAAGAGTGTTCTGTATTGGTTCTGTGCCCGTTGGTGATTTTTGTCCCCTCATTCTCTCTCTCTTCACCGCCCCCCCTCACCCCGTTCCAATGCAAGTCACCTCATTCTCTCTTGACTATTCTCTAATAAGGCTTTTACACCCTACTTCCACACACTCCTCTTCTGAGTCATACATTAATGACCTTAACATTGCAAAATAATAAAAGGGCCATTGGGCATGGTGTTTCTTGCCTGTAATCCCAGCATTTTGAAAGGTTGAGATGGGCAGGTCACCTGAGGTCAGGAGTTCGAGACCAGCCTGGCCAACACGGCAAAACTTCACCTCTACTAAAAATACAAAAGTTAGCCAGGCTTGGTGGTGCACACCTATAGTCCCAGCTACTTGGGAGGCTGAGGCAGAATTGCTTGAATCTAGGAGGCAGAGGTTGCAGGGAGCAGAGATTACCCCACCACTGCGCTCTACCCTGGGCAACAGAGCGAGACTCCATCTCAAAAAAACAAAACAAAAACAAAAACAAAAAAATGCCTGGTATGGTAGGAGGCCGAGGCAGGCAGATCACTTGAGGTCAGGAGTTCAAGATCAGCCTTGCCAATGTGGTGAAACCCTATCTCTACTAAAAATACAAAAATTAGAAGGTTGTGCTTGCTTGAACCTAGGAAGTAGCGGTGTCAGTGAGCACACATGGTACCACTACAATCCAAACTGGGTGACGGAGCAAAACTCCATCTAAAAAAAAAAGAAAAGAAATCAAATGGCCAATTTCCAATCCCCCCACTTTTTTAAGGGTATCATGGTGGTGGGATAGGGGTTTGGATTCTTTTGGTTTACTTTTATTTTTTTGTTTGTTTTGTTTTGATACAGAGTCTTGCTCTGTAGCTCAGGCTGGAGTGCAGTGGCATGATCTAGGCTCACTGCAACCTCTCCCTCTAGGGCTCAAATGATTCTCCTGCCTCAGCCTCTCAAGTAGCTGGTACTACACTCGTACCTCACTAAGCCTTGCTAATTTTTGTATTTTTGGTAGAGATGAGGTTTCATCATCTTGGCCAGGCCGGTCTTTGACTCCTAAGCTCAAGTGATCTGCTTACCTCGGCCTCTGAACGTGCTGAGATTACAGGCATGAACCACCACACCCCACCTAAATATGTTTTAAAATACTCAACTCAAAGGCCAGGCTGAGATGAACATTTTAGTACCTACTTTTTGGTGAACATATGCGTGCATTTCTGTTGGGTGTATGCCTAGGAGTAGAATTGTTGGCTCAGGGGTAGGTATATGTTCTTTTTTTTTAGATGGAGTTTCGCTCATTACCCAGGCTGGAGTGCAATGGCGCGATCTTGGCTCACTGTACCCTCCGCCTCCTGAGTTCAAGCAATGCTCCTACCTTAGCCTCCCGAGTAGCTCGGACTACAGGTGCGTGCCACCATGCCCAGCTAATTTTTGTATTTTTAGTAGAGACGGGGTTTCACCTTGTTGACCAGGATGGTCTCGATCTCTTGACCTCGTGAGCCATCCCTCCCAAAGTGCTGGGATTATAGGCGTGAGGTACCGCATCCGGCTTTTTTTTTTTTTTTAAGACAAGGTTTCACCATGTTGGTCAGGCTGGTCTCGAACTCCTAATCTCAAGTCATCGCCCTCCTCCGCCTCCAAAAGTGCTGGGATTACGGGTGCGAGGCACCGCGCGGGGCCGGAAAGGACTCTCTAGCCCATCTTACCTAGGGTCTTCACAGCCCCGCAGGCACGCTTGCGGCAACATCCGGGCACCGCCGCCCTGCCGGAGTCAGAGGGCGGGGTGACGGGTGAGGGGCTACGGTATCTCTTAAGGCAGAAATGTTCACACCCTCCTAACGGCGGCGCCAAAGGCGGTGGGGCCCGGGACTGTTTCCCCTTAAAGTCTTCCCCCCGCCCGGGTCGCAGGAGGACGCCGGAGAGGGCGCCCTGAGTGACCCCCAGCAGCAGCCCGAGCAGGACTCTGTGGTGCGAAGGTGAGAACCCGGGCGGGGCCGGTCGACTCCGACCGCGAGCGGGTCCCTTGCTCGGACCGCGGGTGGGGGCTTGTCGTCCTAACGGAGGGCGCCCGAATAACCGAGTCACGTTTTACGACCACATTCACTGACCGTTCAAAGTCGAATCCTAGGCTTTTCGAGGCAGTTAGTGGGTCCCAACGGCTGCCGGCGCGGCGGCGGCCTGGGGCCCGCGCAGAGGCGCAACGGCCCGGGAGGCGCGCGGTTGAGCGAAGCCGCGGGGCCCAACCGCGGTCGGGGGTCTTGGGAGGTGGGTGCATCGCGCGGTCGCTGCGGCCGGCGGTGGGGGAACCTCGAGTAGGGGTGGGCGGCTACTCGGAGGTGGGCTGGCCTAAGAGAGAAGGGTCCTGCGGCTCTGGGAAACCCGCCTCGGAGCCCTGGAGAGGAGATTCGTGGTTTGCCGAGTACCTGCTATGTCCCGGACTCCGCTCCAGGTGCTGGGATCCCACAGCAAACGAAGCCACCCAGCCCTTGCCTTCCTAGACTATATATTCTAGGAAAGAGACAGAGAAGAAAATGCATAGATATGACCGGGCGCGGTGGTTTTAGCCTGTAATCTAGCACTTTGGGAGGCGGAGGCGGGTGGATCACGAGGTCAGGAGTTCAAGACCAGCCTGGCCAAGATGGTGAAACCCCGTCTATACTAAAAATGCAAAAATTTAGCTGAGCGCGGTGGTGGGCACCTGTAATCCCAGCTGCTTGGGAGGCTGAGGCAGAGAATTGCTTGAACCCAGGAGGCGGAGGTTGCCGTGAGCCGAGATTGCATCACTGCCCTCCAGCCTGGGGGACAGATCCAGACTCCGTCTAAATAAAAAATAAAATGCATGGATATGTAACAGGATGCCGTAAATCTGTAGTAGGGCTAGGAAGCAGGGAGGAGACTGTATGTTAGGTTGGAATTGGGGAAGGGGTCAGTCTGAGAGGCCTTCGTAAGGAGTGTCTTTTGGCGGGAGACCCGAAGGAATTGAGGGAGCCTTGGGAGCATGATCCCGGTGGAGGTAACTGGACTCCGGAGGTGGAACCGTCTTTGCCTTGAAAGAAACCTACCAGGAGTTAAAGTGCTGTGCGGGTGGGATCAGCTTTGTAGATTTCTGCAAGATGACAATTGGAATTGTCTTAGGAAATTACAGATCATTCATTTATTCAGTGCTGGATTCATTCAATGATTTATATCTGAAGTGTGAGAGAATGGGAGTAAGGCTAAGTGTCCTTGGCAAAATACTGTTACTAGTTTTGTCCCAGTTTAATACACAGACTAAATTTAGAATTTCCTTTTTTGTTGTTGTTGAGACTGAGTCTCACTCTGTTGCCCATGCTGGAGATCAATGGCATGATCTTGGCTCATCCCAACCTCTGCCTCCCGGGTTCAAGCAATTGTCCTTTGATTTGAATTTCCGTTGATTTTTAAGAAGTGTTAATTTGAGTTAATTTTACAGATTAGTAAACACTACCTCACTTTTTTTTTTCAGCCTCCCTAGTAGCTGGGATTACAGGCATGCGCCACCGTGCCCGGTTAATTTTGTATTTTATAATTTTTTTTTAATTATTTTTTTAAAGACGGGGTTTCACCATGTTGGTCAGGCTGGTCTTGAACTCCCGACGTCAGGTGATCCGCCCGCCTTGGCCTCCAAGGTGCTTGGATTATAGGCGTGAGCCACCAGGACCGGAGTCATTTTGCATTTTTAATAAAGATGGGGGTTTCTCCATGTTGGTCAGGCTGGCTTCGAACTCCCGACCTCAAGTGATCCACCCAGCTCAGCTTCCCACAGTGCTGGGAGTACAGGCGTGAGCCACTGTGCCTGGCTGAATTTCCACTGATTTTTTTTTTTTTTTTTTTTTTGAGACAGAGTCTCACTCTGTCCCCAGCCGCCAGGCTGGAGTACAGTGGCACAATCTCGGCTCACTGCAGCCGCCGCCTCCCAGGTTCAGGCAATTTGCCTGCCTCAGCCTCCTGAGTGGCTGGGACTACAGGTGCAGGCCACCACGCCCAGCTAATTTTTGTATTTTTAATAGAGACAGGGTTTCACCATGTTGGTCAGGATGGTCTCAATCTCTTAACCTTGTGATCCGCCCGCCTCGGCCTCCCAAAGTGGTGGGACTGCAGGCTTGAGCCACCGTGCCCGGCCTGAATTTCCATTGATTTCTAAGAAGTGTTAATTTGAGTTAATTTTACAGATTAGTAAACACTACCTCACTTTTTTTTTTTCAGTGCTCAGCCCTGTGTTGGAGATTCTGCCTCCCCTGGAACAGATTATCTTCTTGAGCACAATCCCAAGATGGGTGGCTGCTCTGGGTGGGTGTGCACTGGTGGCCTGACAGGGTATAGGGGAGGGGTCTAGCGTCCTGTCCTCTGGGAGGGAACTTGGGTGAACTTGGGTTTGGGTGGGGATGCATGTGAAGTGGTATTGGATCCCATGTCTAAGGGTCCCTTCCTCCTGAAGGCACACAGAACCCCTTCCTCCTTGGGGAGCAGCCTAGGAATGGGCTCTCTTGGGGGCCTTCCCTCAGTGCCACCAGGTCCTGCCCTCTGGCCCATCTCTTCAGAAGGCAGCCTTTCCTTGGAGGGTCAGAGACTCCAGCCCAGGGCTCTAGGGTCACGTTGTGAACATCAACCTCAGTCCTGCACTTCACTTCTCTTGGCCTGATTTCTCCACTGGGAGCTGGCACTCCAAGCCCTCAAACGGAGGATCCTCTGAGAGAGGCCTATGGGCAGGGAGCTGGTACAGAGCAGTGTGCGCTGGGAGGGGTGACCGGTGGGAATAGGGGACTGTGGGAGGGCTGGGGTGTCCTAGTCGTCTTTGTCGTTGGAGCCATGTTTGAGGATGTGGGTGAACGCCACCTAGTTGAACTTGCCCTTCTTATCATTGGGTGCCTCCCGGTACATCTCATCCACTTCCTCGTCTGTGAAGCTGTCACCCATGGTGGTGAGCAGCTCCCAGAGGTGGTCCTCATGGAAGAAACCTGAGGCTTCCTAATTGAAGCAGGCAAAGGCATTTTGGATCACATCCTTGGGGTCCCTGCCGTTCAGCTTCTTCCCAAACATGGTGAGGAAAGTGGTTAAGTTGATGGGCCTCGGGGCCTTGCTTATTATACTCTCCAGGTATTCATTCTTGGGGTTCTTCCCCAGTCAGGCCAGCTTGTCCTTCAGGTCCCCCTTGTGAACGAAGCCTTCACAGTTCTGGTCAATCATGTTGAAAGCCTCCTTGAACTCCTGGATGTGGAACTGGTCAAACATCGCGAAGACATTGGATGTGGCCTGCTCTGCCCGCTTGGTGATGATCTTGGCTTTGGCCCACTTGCTGGACATTTTGGCTTCAGGTGGGTGGGGGCTTCACTGGATGCTTGGAGCTCGCTGGTTATAGTACCTTACTTTTTTTGAAAAGTATAAGTATTTGAGTTAAAAGAGTTGTGAGGTTTTTCAGTTTGGCTTTATTTGTTTTTCCCAAGTGAGAATGACCTAGAAGATAAGAAGTAGCTGACAGAGGAACAAAAAGAGTGAGGTTGGGAGTGGGAAGGTAGCAGAGAGAAAACGAAATACAGAGGATGTGGAACAGTGATAGGGACAGTCTGTCCTAATTCTCGTCCTCTTCCTAATAGACTCAGGAAATAATACAGGTGTTTAACAGAACGTATCTCAGCAGAGCCTCAGAAGTTATCAATCCAAGTCAGGAGAGCTGGTAGAGGAGGACACAGACTCAGATTTGATAACTGGTTAAGCAGAATCGTGATTTCCAACTTCACTGCGGCTCACTGAAGCAGTTCAGGCTACGGTGATGCTGTGAGGAGAGGTGGCTTGTCCTAAGTGTTTTAAATTTTATATGACAAGGTAAGCCACATTAAATCACAGAATTTTATGACAGCAAGATTGCCTAATCCAATCTCTGCTCATTTTGCAGATGGGGAAACTGCTAGTTGGTGACAGAGAAACGACTCAGAATATACGAGAGATGTTTTTACCTTAACTTCAGCTGTCTCCTCTTATTTGATAAAATGCTTCTCACTGGCTACTGGAGTCAGCTTTATTGAGGATCCCAGAATTGAGTTTATCTAAAACATCATTAGAATTATATGAATTTCACTTTCTTCCATAAGTATTTATTGGAGTGCCCATTGGCCAGGGACTAAATCACAGCCTCTTCCCTCAAGGAGCTTAAGTAGATGGAGTGAATGAATAACTAGCCCATTACAGTTTACAGGAAGCAGTACCTTGAAGAGAAATTGGAGAGTCAATTCCTAGGATAGCAGAGAGATGGACAACAGACAGAAGGTGAGTATTAAAAGTGATGTCAGCGCTGGGCGCGGTGGCTCACGCCTGTAATCCCAGCACTTTGGGAGGCCAAGATGGACAGATCACCTGAGGTTAGGAGTTTGAGACCAGCCTGGTCAACATAGTGAAACCCCATCTCTACTGAGAATACAAAAAACTAGCTTGCATAATGGTGGGTGCCTATAATTCCAGCTGCTTGGGAGGCTGAGGCAGAAGAATCACTTGAACCCGGCAGGTGGAGATTGCAGTGAGTAGAGATTGCGACACTGCTCTTCAGGCTGGGTGACAGTGTGAGACTTCATCTTTAAAAAAAAAAAAAAAGCAGCGTGCAGTGTTTCACGCCTGTAATCCCAGCACTTTGAGGGGCTGAGGCGGGCGGATTAAGAGGTCAGGAGTTTGAGACCAGCTTGGCCAACATGGTAAATACCCATCTCGGGCCAGGTGTGGTGGCTCAGGCCTGTAATCCCAGCACTTTGGGAGGCTGAGGTTGGGCGGATCACCTGAGGCCAGGAGTTCAAGACCAACCTGGCCAACAAGGTGAAACCTCATCTCTTTAAAAATAAATAAATAAATAAAAATTTAAAAAGCAAAGAAAACCCCCGTCTTTACTAAAAATACAAAAATTGGCTTGGTGTGGTGGTGCATGCATGTAATACTAGCTATTCAGGAGGCTGAGGCAAGAGAATTGCTTGAACCCTGTAGGTGGAGGTTGAAGCGAACTGAGATCCTACCAGTGCACTTCAGCCTGGGCAACAGAGCGAGACTCTGTCTCAAAAAAATAACAAAAAAAACTGATGTCAGATATCAAATTGGTTTGTCTTGGTTATGTTGATAATCACAATACCTATCATCTTCCTAAACCTTTGTTGTTTTGATATTGTGTAATATACATAAATGGTGGTGGGAGAGACTATTCCAGCCAATACACTTGGTATGTTCCCCAGTTCTTTTTATTCATAAGTAATCACCCTTTGTCATTTGTGGCCTTTTGTGCTTTAATGTTATCTGAAGAATAAGAATGATAAAATATTGTCTGGGCCCAGTGACTCACACTTGTAATCCCAGCACTCTGGGAAACCAAGGTTGGTGAGTCACCTGAGGTCAGGAGTTGGAGACCAGCCTGGCCAACATGACATAACCTCATCTCTGCTAAAAAAAAAAAAAAAAAAAAAAGGAAATTTATTTGGGATTGGTAGCGGGTGTCTGTAATCCCAGCTACTCAGGAGGCTGAGGCAGGAGAATTGCCTGAACCCAGGAGGCGGAGGTTGCGGTGTGCCGAGATCTCGCTATTGCACTCCAGCCTGGGTAACAAGGGAAACTCCGTTTCAAAGAAAAAAAAAAGAGAGAAAGAAAGAAAACAAAAAAAGGGCTCTCAAAGATAGCAAACAACAAGAAGAATAAGGAGGGATTCTTTTTTTTTTTTTTTTTTTGAGACAGAGTCCCACTCTGGAGTGCAGTGGCAAGATTTCGTCTTACTGCAACCTCCACCTCCCAGGTTCAAGTGATTCTCCTGCCTGAGGCTCCAGAGTAGCTGGGATTACAGGCGCTTCCCACCATGCCCAGCTATTTTTTTTTTTTGTATTTTTAATAGAGATGGAGTTTCACCACCTTGGCCAGGATGGACTCAATCTCTTGAACTTGTGATCTGCCCGCCTCGGCCTCCCAAAGTTCGGGGATTATAGGCCTGGGCCACCATACCTGACCTTTTTTTTCTTCTTCTTCTTTTTCTTTCAAGGATGTCCTAACATTTTTTTTTTTCCTAAGATGGAGTCTCACATTGTTTCCCAGGCTGGAGTGCAGTGGCACAATCTCATCCCTCTGCAGCCTCAGCCTCCTGAGTAGCTGTGATTACAGGCACGTGCCACCACGCCCATCTAATTTTTATATTTTTAGTAGAGATGGGGTTTCACCATGTTAGTTAGGCTGGTCTTAAATTTCTGACCACGTGATCCGTCTGCGTCAGCCTCCCAAAGTGCTGGGATTACAGTTGTGAGCCACCGCGCCCAGCTAAAAGAAGATTTTTACTAAAAGGAGGAAGATTTAACAAAGAGCATTGTACTGGCAGTGTCCTCCAGGGTACCCATGCTTAGTTGTGACTGAGATATCTGGGAGACTGCAGACAAGGTCAGTTCGCCTACTGAAGCTGCCAGCCCGATATCTACCCTATCTGACCTGAAAGGAAAGGAGTTTAAGATAGGAAAGGTTGAAGGGATTGAGGGATTAGGCGGGAAAGGGCATAGAAGATGGCCTCAAGTATAAACATTGAGGGGCCTGCCCCAAGTTGGAAATCTAAAATAATATCCACTTGCCCAGCTGAATTATTCCAGACAAGGTGAAGATGACTGACCCCCACCCCACTAAGAAATGTCTCTTATATGTTGGGTTTATAGTGAGCTGAGTGTTCTTTCTTCCCCTGCCTGGGGGTTAGGGTTAGCAGAACAGTATTTAATGAATGAAAGACTCAAATGGGGCCAGGATTTAGTGGGTAGATCCAGTAGGTTACATGGTCCTGAGAGAGAAGAGACTCAAAGAGCAGCCCAGCAGTGAAGACACAAACTACCACCCCCACCACTACTTGAGCTTCCGTGGAGTCTGGGGTACAGATCAGACTACACTGTATTTGTTTCCAAATTAACCAGTTCTTTTTTTTTTTTTTTTTTTTTTTTTTTTTGAGACGGAGTTTTGCTCTTCTTACCCAGGCTGGAGTGCAATGGCGCAGTCTCGGCTCACCGCAACCTCCGCCTCCTGGGTTCAGGCAATTCTCCTGCCTCAGCCTCCTGAGTAGCTGGGATTACAAGCACCCGCCACCGTGCCCAGCTAATTTTTTGTATTTTTGGTAGAGACGGGGTTTCACCATGTTGACCAGGATTGTCTCTATCTCTTGACCTCGTGATCCACCCGCCTCGGCCTCCCAAAGAGCTGGGATTATAGGCTTGAGCCTCCTCGCCCAGCCCCCAAATTAACCAGTTCTTAGTCATCCTACCCGAGCCTGTGCTTTCTCTGCCCTCCCAGTTCTTGGTGGAATTTTATGCCTGCCTTTACCTGGTGCAGGTTTTTAAATGTTTCCAAACTGACTAACCCAGTTTCTCTTAACTTCTTCCAGAGAAAAAAAAGAAAAAGAAAAACTTCTTTCTTCCCCAATTCTCTTGCCACTTTTACCAAGTTAACTTCACATCCTTACCTCTAGATAAGTTCTTTAGTATAATCTAGTCCCTGGTCTTCCCAAATTTTTTTTTTTTTTGAGACGGAGTTTCGCTCTTGTTGCCCAGGCTGGAGTGCAATGGCAAATTCTCAGCTCACCAAAACCTCTACCTCCTGGGTTCAAGCGATTCTCCTGTTTTAGCCTCCCAAGTAGCTGGGATTACAAGCATGTGTCACCATGCCCAGCTAATTTTTTGTATTTAACAGAGACAGAGTTTCACCATGTTGGCCAGGATGGTCTTGATCTCTTGACCTCATGATCCACCTACCTCGGCCTCTCAAAGTCCTGGGATTGCAGGCGTGAGCCACCGCGCCCGGCCGGTCTTGTTAATTAATCTCCTAAATCTCATTTGATTTTTATCTTTTTCATACCACTCATAGGTCAAATTCTCCTAATAGAGCTCCATAGTTCATAAGAAACAGTCGTCAATCACAAGCTATAAGGACTATTCTCTCTTCCCTGTCCTCTCTCCCTCCAGGTCACCCCAGCTCTGATCTTTGCCATCACAGTTGCTACAATTGGCTCTTTCCAATTTGGCTACAACACTGGGGTCATCAACGCTCCTGAGATGGTGAGTGCCAGGCCACAAGAATTAGAACCTGGAATAGGGAAGTTACTCCTTTATAAGTAGAGTTTCAAGAATTCAGAATTTAAGGCCCACCTTGTCACCTGCCTGGAGTCCCTAGCTACTCCAGAGGCTGAGGCCTAAAGATCACTTGAGCCCAGGAGTTAAACACCATCCTGGGCAACACAGTTAGTGAGGGTCCCTCCCTCCCCTAGGGGAATTTGAAACAAACTTTGTATCTATCCTGGCCAAGGCTGAAGATGGAGACAATATGGCTTGGAAATCTAGTGCAGTCCTTTAATCAAAGCAGAATGCTCACTTACTCCCTGTACCCTGGGAGGGGCTGTTCTTCCTCCCACTTTCTCACCTCATAGTGACACACTTCCTATATCATCCCTTAGGGGTTAGTTACAAAGAAGCTGGGTCTACTTACTAGAGGGCTGGGGTGAACATCAGTGCTGCCTCCCCTACTGGGATTTTTAGGATAAATGAAAAGTTACTTTTCCAAAGAGAGTTAACATTAATTCCAGTATGTTACCTGCCTCTTCCAGTCCCATCTGTTTATTCCCTTGATTCTCTAGGGAGGAAATTATCCTAGTGTTTGTTTTTTTTGAGACTGAGTCTCACTCTGTCAATCAGGCTGGAGTGTAATGGCAGGGGCAATGGCATATGGTCTTTGCTCACTGCAAACTGCCTCCTGTGTTCAAGTGATTCTCCCTCAGCCTCCGGAGTAACTGGAATTACAAGCACCCACCACCACGCTTGGCTAATTTTGGATTTTAGTAGAGATGGGGTTTCACCATGTTGGTCAGTTGGTCTCAAACTCCTGACCTCAGGTCATCCACCTGCCTCAGCCTGCCAAAGTGCTGGAATTACAGGCGTGAGTCCCCGTGCCTGGCATGGTTCTGCCCTTTGTTCTCCTCCAACTGCAACAGTCTGCCCTCCCACCAACCCTTTTATTTTGCAGATCATAAAGGAATTTGTCAATAACACTTTGAAGAACAAGAAAAATGCCCCTCCTTCTGAGATGTTGCTCACGTCCCTCTGGTCCTTGTCCGTGGCCATATTCTCCGTCGGTGGTATGATTGGCTCCTTTTCCGTTGGACTCTTTGTCAGTCGTTTTGGCAGGTATTGACTAGAAACTGGGCAAGGAAGTGGGCTCTACCACATGCACTGAGGACAAGCATGGAGACTCAGGGCAGGGAGGTGGTGATGCCTTTGAATCTGAACACCTTGATTTCTAATCAAGGGAAACCTAGTCCAATGGGCCCTGAATGTGACTGCCCTTGCTTGGAGCTCTGCTACCCTCCATAGCTCCCACCTAGCTGTGCAGGAGATGAGCTGTGTGAGTGACTGGCTTTTGCAGCCCAGCTAAGGCTAGTTCAGAATTATTCTCTAGTAAGCTCAACTATGGGGTTTGCAGAAACATACTTAATTCTCAAGGTCCAAAGTTGTTTACTTTTATTTAAAAAATTGAGGTTTCATATAAATGTTTTTTTGTTTGTTTTTTTTTTTTTGAGACGGAGTTTCGCTCGTTACCCAGGCTGGAGTGCAATGGCGCGATCTCGGCTCACCGCAACCTCCGTCTCCTGGGTTCAGGCAATTCTCCTCCCTCAGCCTCCTGAGTAGCTGGGATTACAGGCACGCGCCACCATGCCCAGCTAATCATATAAATGTTTTTATTATTTTACACAGGATTGGTAGGAATTATTCTTATATTTTTAGTCTATGGCAAATGAGGATAATGGCCAAAAAAAGAAAACTGAAACTTCTTATTTTATACTAGCATAATAATATGTTTTAGAAGGTAGGATATATTTTAGTTACAACTGAAGAAGGAAGTGTTTTATTTTATTTATTTATTTGTTTTTAAAGACAGGGTTTCACCAGGCTGGTCTTGAACTTCTGACCTCAGGTGATCTGCCCACCTTGGCCTCCCAAAGTGTTGAGATTAAGCGTGAACCACCAGGACCAGCCAGGAAGTATTTTAATTTGTCAGTTAGATATTCTAGAAATGCAAGTGGAATTTACATTTAAAAACTGATAAGGCAAATTACTTAACTTGATAATGTTTTTCCCCACACACCCTTTCTTCGCCCAAGAAGCTGGGTCTTGCTGGGTCACTCGGGCTGGAGTGCAATGGCCCAATCGTAGCTCACTGCAGCCTCGATCTCCCACCTCAGCTCCCTGAGTAGCTGGGGGACTATAGGCAGGCACTATCCTGCCTGTTTCCCAACTTGAAATGTTCTGATAAAACATTTATCAGAACAGAAAGTGAAAAAGAAAAGTTAGACCAAAAAGGAGACGATATGAGCCTGGAGAAGAGCAGAATAATGAGGACAGGAGAGGAGAGATTAGGAGCCTCTCACTTTGCTAACCCCATACCTTACAGGCGCAATTCAATGCTGATCGTCAACCTGCTGGCTGTCACCGGTGGCTGCCTCATGGGACTGTGTAAAGTAGCTGAGTCGGTGGAAATGCTGATCCTGGGCTGCTTGGTTATTGGCCTCTTCTGCGGACTGTGCACAGGTTTTGTGCCCATGTACATTGGAGAGATCTCACCTACTGCCCTGCAGGGTGCGAATGGCACTCTCAACCAGCTGGGAATCGTTGTTGGAATTCTGGTGGCCCAGGTACTGTAGAAGTTCTCATGCCTGATGAGTGTTCGTTTCATGGGTCATTTAAAAAGTTAACATAGTTAAAGCACTGAAGAATATCTGGCACATGTTCGATTATATATCGAAGTTTTAGATATTGTTACTATAGCTCACATACTAGCTGAAGAAGCAGGCTGAGTAGATGAAAGGAAAAGAAACACAGTTTCTTTTTTTTTTAAAGATGAGGTTTCACCGTGATGGCCAGGCTGGTCTTGACCTCCTGACGTCAGGTGATCCACCCATCTCAGGTGATCCACCCATCTTGGCCTCCCAAAGTGCTAGGATTACAGGCGTGAGCCACAGTGCGTGGCCTAAGAGACAGAATTTCCTTTGGCCAGGCGCAGTGGCTCATGCCTATAATCCCAGCACTTTGGGAAGCCGAGGCGGGTGGATCACGAGGTCAAGAGATCGAGACTCTTGGTCGACATGGTGAAACCCCATCTCTACTAAAAATACAAAAAATTAGCTGGGCATGGTGGTGCACGCCTGTAGTCCCAGCTACTCAGGAGGCTGAGGGAGGAGAATTGCCTGAACCCAGGAGGCAGAGGTTGCAGTGAGCCCAGATTGCGCCATTGGACTCCAGCCTGGGTAAGAAGAGCGACACTCCGTCTCAAAAGAAAAAAAGAAACACAATTTCCTTTTCTTTTCATTTTTTTTTTTTGAGACGATGTCTCACTCTGTCACCCAGGCTGGAGTGCAGTAACTTGATCTCGGCTCACTGCAGCCTCCACCTCCCGGGTTCAAGCGATTCTCCTGCCTCAGCCTCCCAAGTAGCTGGGATTACAGGTGCGCACCATTATGTCAAGCTAATTTTTGTATTTTTAGTAATGATAGGGTTTCACTATGTTGGCCAGGCTGTTATCAAACTCCTGACCTCAGGCTATCCACCCATCTTCGCCTCCCAAAGTGCTGGGTTACAGGCGTGAGCCACCATGCTTGGTAATTTATTTATTTTTTCCCATGGTAAAAGAATGTATGGTTTTCTGAGCTTTTTGTTTTTTCATGAATTTGTAGCCTATAAAGTATGGGGTTTATGGTAGTATCTTGTGTGGTTTCTAGATCTTTGGTCAGGGATTCATCCTTGGGTCTAAAGAGCTGTGGCCAGGGCTACTGGGCTTTAGCGTCCTTCCTGCTATCCTGCAAAGTGCAGTCCTTCTATTTTGCCCTGAAAGTCCCAGATTTTTGCTCATTAACAGAAAAGAAGAGGAGAATGCTATGCGGAATGAGTATCCTTCACACTTGAGTACATGAAGTATATGGTTGTGGTTTGTTTTAAGGATGAGGGTATTGAACCTATTTTCCGTGATACCCTTTTCCTGCCTCTTGGAATCCAAGTGAAGAGGATTCTGATAACTCTTTTTTTTTTTTTTAAAACAAGATAGAATCTTGCTCTGTCACCCAGCCTGGGGTGCAGTAGCGGGATCTCGGTCCACTGCAACCTCCACCTCCCAGGTTCAAGCAATTCCCCGCCTCAGCCTCCTGAGTAGCTGGGATTACAGGCACATGTCACCATGCCTTGCTAATTTTTTTGTATTTTTGGTACAGACAGGGTTTTACCATGTTGGCCAGGCTGGTCTCAAACTCCTGACCTCAGGTGATTCACCTACCTTGGCCTCCCAAGGTGCTGGTATTACAGGCATGAGCCACTGAGCCCAGAGGTTTTTTCTTTTTTTTAAGATAGACTCTCGCTCTGTTGCCCAGGCTGGAGTGCAGTGGTGCAATCTTGGCTCACTGCAACCTCTGCCTCCTGGGTTCAAACGATTCTCCTGCCTCAACCTACAGAGTATCCAGGATTATAGGTGTGCACCACCACCCCTGGCTAATTTTGTATTTTTGTTAGAGATAGGGTTTCACCACATTGGCCAGGCTGGTCTTGAACTCCTGACCTCAGGTGATCCACTCGCCTCAGCCTCCCAGTGTGCTGGGATTACAGATGTGAGCCACCGTGCTGAGCCCTGATTACTCTTGAGTAAAATTTTCAGCCTCTAAAGAATGAGTTGAGAAGGCAGGTACAAGAATGGATGCTATTGATCACCTCATCTCCTTCAGCCCTTTCCTAGCTGCCTTACAGGAAGAATGAATTTGGAAATTACATTGTCTTTATCCTTTCCTCTTTATTCTTTTTACCAGTCCTCCAGCGGTTGTGGGGCACCCAGGATGTATCCCAAGACATGCAGGAGATGAAAGAGGAGAGTGCAAGGATGTCACAAGAAAAGCAAGTCACCGTGCTGGAGCTCTTTAGAGTATCCAGCTACCAACAGCCCATCATCATTTCCATTATGCTCCAGCTCTCTCAGCAGCTCTCTGGAATCAATGCTGTGAGTATACCTTAGGGTCAAAGGTATCTTCCAATATTTCACTTAAAACGCCGGGTACAGTATTGGTGTGCCTGTGCTACTCAGGCCTCAGGAGGATCGCTTGAGCCCAGGAGTTTGAGGCTGCAGTGAGCTATAATTATGCCACTACACTCCAGCCTGGGAGACAGAGTGAGACTCTTTCTCTGAAATTAAAAAAAAATTTTAAAAGCCTGGCACAGTAGCTCACGCCTATAATCCGAGCACTTTGGGAGGCTGAGGAGGGCGGATCACCTGAGATCAGGAGTTTGAGACAAGCCTGGCCAACATGGTGAAACCCCATCTTTACTAAAAATCCAAAAAGTAGCCAGGTGTGCTAGCAGGCACCTGTAATCCCAGATACTTCAGAGGCTGAGGCAGAAGAATTGCTTGAACCCAGCAGATGAAGGTTGCAGTATGCTGAGACCATGCCACTTCACTCCAGCCTGGGCAACAGAGTGAGACTCTGTCTTTAAAAAAAAAAGATAAAAATTAGCTGAGTGTGGAGGCACACACCTGTAATCCCAGCTACTCGGGAGGCGGAGGCAGGAGAATCGCTTGAACTCGGAAGGTCGAGGTTACAGTGAGCCGAGATTGCAGCATTGCACTCCAGCTGGGGCAACAAGAGCAAAACTCCTTCTCAAAAAAAGAAAGAAGGCCTGGTGCAGTGGCTCACGCCTATAATTCAGGATTTTGGGAGGCCGAGGCAGGTGGTCCATGAGGTCACGAGTTTGAGACCAGCCTGGCCAAGATGGTGAAAACCCATCTCTACTAATACAAAAATTAGCTAGGTGAAGTGGTGGGTGTCTGTAATAACCCACCTACTCGGGAGGCTGAGGCAGGAGAATCGCTTGAACCTGGGAGGTGGGGGTTGCAGTGAGCTGAGATTGTGCCACTGCACTCCAGCCTGGGCAACAGAGCAAAACTCCATTACAAAAAAGAAAAAGGAGCCTGGAAGGCAGAAAAAAGAGCCTGGAAGGACACTGGCAACTTCAGACTGAGCTGACTTTACCAGTCTATATGTTTTGTTTTGTTTCGTTTTTTTTGGTTTTTCTTGAGACGGAGTCTCACTCTTGCGCAGGCTGGAGTACAGTGAGGCAATCTCGGCTCACTGCAACCTCCACCTCCTGGGTTCAAGCAATTCTCCTGCCTTAGCCTCCTGAATAACTAGGATTAGGCATGTGCTACCACACCTGGCTAATTTTTGTATTTTTAGTAGAGATGGGGTTTTACCATGTTGGTCAGGCTGGTTTCAAACTCCTAACCTCGTGATGCGCTGGCCTTGGCCTCCCAAAGTGCTGGGATTACAGGAATGAGCTGTGCACTGGCCACTAGTCTATGTTTTTACAACTAGAATAGAGAGCATGATAGTTTAAAGAGGGTGGCAAAATGGAAGCTAGCATTTGGCAGATAGTCCTTGTATCCCATGCAAATATCAGCTTCCTGCTCTTGAGTGTAGAGTGTGGGAAGAGAGTGTTCCTGTAACTTCTAGTCAATTGTGGATAAAATATAGTTATGAAGAACACTCTGTGCTTTATACCCTAAGGCTCTTCCATTAGTCTTTGATCAATGAGATTAAATCATTTTGTAACAAAGCATTTTGCAAAACTTACTATTCTGAGCATGATTTTGATGCTCAAATGATGCTCAAAACAGTAAGTTGGTTCTTGGCCTTTTCTCCTACCTAACATACCAGGATATTTGTATTTGAAATGGCAGTGCTTCTTGTGATGGGTTAGAGGCTATTTTATCAGAACGTAGGAGGAGCCAGGTGTGGTGGCTTTGCATGCATGTAGTCCCAGGTACTACCTGGGAGGCTGAGCTGGGAATATCATGTAAGCCCAGGAGTCAAGCCTGAGAAATATAACTTGACCCTGTCTTTAAAAAGAAAAGAAAAGAAAGAAAACTTGGGAGGAAATACACAATAGTTTGAAAAAGCCTCCTTGGTGATTCTGATGAATCCCATTCTCAGCTTTCCTCATTTGGAAATGACAATATAGGCCACACATATTATTGGAGAAAAATATGCTCTGAGACTTTCCAGAGCAGCAGAGCTGGGACTAGGCAGGTGAGGTAGCTACGTACAAATGTAGCCCTAAGAGTGAGTACTTCTTTAAAGAATGTACCTTGTATTGGTCTGTGCCTATTTAAAAAAGAAAAAAAGAATGCACCTGAAGCAGCTCCCAGCTGTTTCACCACAGTCCTGGCCCGCAAAACAGGATCAAGAAAGGATCACCTGTGAGAAATTACAGATGATCCATGAGCACTCTGATAAAAGATCACCTGTGAGGAATTATAGATGATCCATGAGCATTCTGATAAACGATCACCTGTGAGAAATTACACATGATCCATGAGCACTCTTGATGGACAGACTCCTCCCACTTCAGGGTATACTATGTACATTCTTTCTCTCTCTCTCTCTTTCTTTTTTTTTTTTTTCCTGGAGACATAGTTTTGCTCTGTCACCCAGGCTAGAATGCAGTGGTGCAGTCTCAGCTCACAGCAACCTCTACCTCCCAGATTCAAGTAATTCTCTTGCCTCGGCCTCCCAAGTAGCTGGAATTCCAGGCAGCCGACACGACACCCAGCTAATTTTGTATTTTTAGTAGAGATGAGGTTTCACCATGTTGTCCAGTCTGGTGTTAAACAGCTAGCCTCAAGTGATCCACCTGCCTAGGCCTCCTAAAGTGGTGGGATTTGCACATTAATTATTGCTGGACTAAGATGGCTCGTAATTTAGTCAGTGAACAGATTTTGCTCCACATATAATCATCATCCAAAGCTGGCTACACCAGAATTATGGCGGGGAGAGAGCAAGAATCCATCTATAAATCAATCAGTCAGCCTGGCGTGGTGGCTCATGCCTATAATCCCAGCACTTTGGGAGGCCGAGGCAGGTGGATCACCTGAGGCAGGATGGCACTAGATAGCAAAGTCATTTTACCAGCCTGGCCAACATGGTAAAACCCTGTCTTTACTAAAATACAAAAAATTAGCTGGGCATGGTAGCACATGCCTGTAATTCCAGCTACTGGGGGCGCTAAGGCAGGAGAATCACTGGAATCCGGGAGGCAGAGGTTGCAGTGACCTGAGATCGCACCATTGCACTCCAGCCTGGACAACAAGAGTGAAACTCCATCTCAAAAAAAGAAACAGACTATAAAAAAGTCAGTTAATCAATCTGATGTACCGCAGGCTTAGAAATCACTTTTCCAACTTATGTTTGTGCAAACGATGTTTTCTAATTTCCCTTACAGACAGATGGGTGAGAGGTTGCATAGTGTTTACCTTGAAGAGTAAACTGTTTTTAGGTCAGATGATTTAGGAGTTAGCTTACCTAGCTTGATGGCACTAGATAGCAAAGTCATTTTACTATAAGAAATTTTATAATTTTTTTAGTTTTACTTTGTATTTATTTATTTGGTTTGAGACAGAGTCTCACCCAGGCTGGAATAGAGTGGCTCGATTTCAGCTTATCACAACCTCTACCTCCCGGGTTCAAGTGATTCTCCTGCCAAATCCTCCCAAGTATCTGAGATTATAGGTGTACACCACCACACCCAGCTAATTTTTGTATTTTTAGTAGAGATGGGGTTTGAGACCAGCCTGGGCTATAACACAGTGAGTTACTGTTGCAACTTATAAAAAAAGAAACCACTTAGTAGGAATTACACTTTCATATAAATTAGTGGAGTGTAATTCCAGCACTCTGGGAAGCCTGTATTCCCATAGTTAAAAGAAACAATGGAAATTGAGTAGTTAAAATTGAGAACATTTAAAAAGAGAAAGGAAGGCCAGGTACAGTGGCTTCATGTCTATAATCCCAGCACTTTGAGAGGCTGAGGTGAGTGGGTCAGGAGTTCGAGACTAGCCTGGCCAACATTGCAAAACCCCTTCTCTGCTTAAAATACAAAAATTAGCTGGGCATGGTTTCGGGCTGTTGTAGTCCCAGCTACTTGGGAGGCTGCAACAGAAGAATCACTTGAATCTGGGAAGTGGATGTTGCAGTGAGCTGAGATTATGCCACTGCACTCCAGCCTGGGGGACAGATCAAGACTTCATCTCAAAAAAAAAAAGAAAGGAAATAAGATACAGAAGATAATTCATTTGGAGAAGGGGTATCAGGATTGAACAAAAACCCTAGAAAAAGGACTCTTATTTCCTGGGACTTTTCTTTTTTTTTTTTTTTTTTTTTTGAGACGGAGTTTCGCTGTTGTTACCCAGACTAGAGTGCAATGGCACGATCTCGGCTCACCGCAACCTCCGCCTTCTGGGTTCAAGCAATTCTCCTGCCTCAGCCTCCCGAGTAGCTGGGACTACAGGCGCGCACCACCATGCCCAGCTAATTTTTGTATTTTTAGTAGAGACGGGGTTTCACCTTGTTGACCAGAATGGTCTCGATCTCTTGACCTCGTGATCCACCTGACTTGGCCTCCCAACGTGCTGGGATTACAGGCATGAGCCACCACTCCCGGCCATCCTAGGACTTTTAAGTGTTTTTTATTTTCATTCTATTTTATGGATACAGAGTCTCATTCTGTCTGGCCTTTCAAGTAGCTGGGACTATAGGTGTGCGCCACCCCACACCAGCTAATTTCGGTTTTTTGTTTTGTTTGGTTTCTTGTTTTTGTTTGGTTTTGTTTTGTTTTGTTTTGTTTTGTTTTGAGACTGGGTTTCACCCAGACTAGAGTGCAAGGGATGGCACAATCTCAGCTCACTAAAACCTCTGCCTCCCGGGTTCAAGTGATTCTCATGCCTCAGCCTCCCAAGTAGCTGGGATTACAGGCATGCACCACCATGCCCAGCTAATTTTGTTTTTAGTAGAAATGGGGTTTCTCCATCTTTGTCAGGCTGGTCTTGAACTCTGGACCTCAAGTGATCCACCTGCCTCAGCCTCCCAAAGTCCTGGGATTACAGGTGTAAGCTACCACGCCTGGCCTAATTTTTGTATTTTTAGTTTCACCATGTTGGCCAGGCTGGTCTCAAACTTCTAACTTCAAGCAATCCTGCCTAGGCCTCCCAAAGTGCTGCAATTACAGGCCTCACCCACCATGCTTGGCCTTAAATAGTTTTTGAAGATTCTGTTTAACTGTTTTGCAGAATTGTATCACAGTTGCATGTTTTGTTTTCTACTAGGTGTTCTGTTACTCAACAGGAATCTTCAAGGATGCAGGTGTTCAGGAACCCATCTGTGCCGCCATCGGCGTGTGTGTGGTTAATGCTGTCTTCACTGTAGTTTCTGTAAGTTGGATGGTTTGATAATTTTGAGGGAAGAAAAGAATCTTTGCTACAGATGTTTAAAGATGGATTGCATGGCTCTACCCTCATTTAGTTAGACCTTTTTTGTTGTTTACTTTTTTTTTTTTTTGAGATGTAGTTTTACTCTTGTTGCCCAGATTGGAGTGCAATGGCTTAATCTTGGCCTACCACAACCTCCACCTCCTGGGTTCAAGTGATTTTCCTGCCTCAGCCTCCTGAGTAGCTGGGATTGCAGGCATGTGCCACCACACCCAGCTAATTTTGCAGTCAACTTCTTTTTCCTCTGTTTTTACACTAAAACAACAATAATAATAGAAGATTTCTGTGACCCCCAAAAATACATGAGGATTTTTCCCCATCAAGTAAAATATCAGTTCTATAGTGGACACCATCTAGGTGTCCTCTGATTTAATTCTGACACTGTCTCCCTGGAGATAGCATCACATCTCACAGGTTGATGGCCCAGTTCCCAAGACAGCCCCACTCTAATGCCAATCACAGGCTCCAGGCTGTCTGACCTGTGCTTCTGACCCACGAGCTTGAGATCAGGATTCCCACAATGACCTCTTTGGGTTTGACTAATTTGCTACAGTGGGTCACAGACTGGGGAAATTGTTTCCTAGTTTGTTTTAGAGGATATTTTAAAGGACAGAAATAAACGATCAGATGAAGAGATTCATAGGGGGAGGTCCGGAGGGGTCCTGAGCATGGGAGTTTCTGTCTCCATGAAGTGGGTGCACTCCTAGCACTAGATGAGTTGTTGACCTTCCTGTCAGCTTCCAGGGGTTCAGATATCTGGAAGCTCCCCACACCCTGCCTTTTGGGCCTTTTATGCAGACTTCACTAGTTCTCCATGATTGAAGCATGGACAAAGGTTCTGAAATGTGATTGAACAAAAAGGGTATGATCTGAACCCAGCAAGGCCTGTCTGTTTAGATTATTTGTTGGCCTCTGTGTAGCATTTCTTCCTCCAGGTTGTGGGGCAAAGAGCCTCTCCAAAATGAGGGTTTTATGACCCACAGTCAGATTAGAGTCCCACTAAGTAGGAGAGCAGGAGAAAGTCAGAGAAGAATTCTATTTTCTGAGGCCTGCTCCTGAAGCCTAATGCATTCCAACATTATAACAAAAGACTGGGCCGGGCGCGGTGGCTCAAGCCTGTAGTCCCAGCACTTTGGGAGGCCGAGGCAGTTGGATCACGAGGTCAAAAGATCGAGACCATCTTGGTCAACATGGTGAAACCCCGTCTCTACTAAAAATACAAAAAATTAGCTGGGCATGGTGGCACGTGCCTGTAATCCCAGCTACTCAGGAGGCTGAGGCAGGTGAATTGCCTGAATCCAGGAGGCAGAGGTTGCGGTGAGCCGAGATCGCGCCATTGCACTCCAGCCTGGGTAACAAGAGCGAAACTCCGTCTCAAAAAAAAAAAAAAAAGAAAGGAAAAAAGAGGCTGGGTAAGGTGGCTCACACCTGTAATCCCAGCACTTTGGGAGGCCGAGGTGGGCAGATCACAAGGTCAGGAGTTCTAGACCAGCCTGGCCAACATGGTGAAACCCCATCTCTACTAAAAATACAAAAATTAGCCAGGCATTGCGGTGCATGCCTGTAATCCCAGCTTCTCAGGAGGCTGAGGCAGGAGAATCGCTTGAACCCAGGAGGCGGAGGTTGCAGTGAACTCAAGACTATGCCATTGCACTCCAGCCTGGGTGATAGAGCAATACTCCGTATCAAAAGAAGAAAAAGTTTTGCTCATAAGCAATGAAAAGAAAAAGTAAAAAGAAATTTGTGCTAGTTTTGCTGTCACGCCGCAAACTGCAAGGATTACAGCCACAGTGCCTGTTAAGTGCTTAGTTTAAGATGGAAAAAGTGTGTAAGATTTATAGGTGGAAAACATTATCAGAAACATGTTCTAGTTCACAGCAATGGGGTTCATAGGTGTCTGCAGTTTCAGGTATCCACGGGGGGTCTTGGGACTTATCCCCCATGAATAAGGGAGGTCTAGTTCAGTGGGATAGATCATTCCAAGACAGCTAGTAGAGTCTGATATCTTGAATTAGACCCAAACCTATACCTGTATATACGTCACTGTTTTTTCCTATATGTACATACCTATGATAATGTTTTCTTTATTTTTTTGTGAGATGGAATTTCGTTCTTGTTACCCAGGCTGGAGTGCAATGGCGCGATCTCGGCTCACCGCAACCTCCGCCTCCTGGGTTCAGGCAATTCTCCTGCCTCAGCCTCCTGAGTAGCTGGGATTACAGGCACGCGCCACTGTGCCCAGCTAATTTTTTGTATTTTTAGTAGAGACGGGGTTTCACCGTGTTGACCGGATGGTCTCGATCTCTTGACCTCGTGATCCACCCGCCTCAGCCTCCCAAAGTGCTGGGATTACAGGCGTGAGACACTGCGCCCGGCGGCCTGATAATGTTTTATTTTTGAGACACAGTCTCACTGTGTTCCCTAGACTGGTGTGCAGTGGTGCAATCTTGGCTCACTACAACCTCTGCCTCTTGAGTTCAAGCAATTCTCCTGCCTCAGCCTCCCGAGTAGCTGGGACTACAAGCTTGTGTCACCACTCCTGGCTAATTTTTTGTATTTGGTAGAGATGGGGTTTCATTCTGTTAGCCAGGATGATCTCAATCTCCCAACCTTGTGATCTGCCCACCTCAGCCTCCCATGTTGGGATTACAGGCATGAGCCACTGTGCCGGCTGATAATGTTTAGTTTATAAGTTACTCACAACCAAAGGTTTTTTTTTTTTTTTTTTTGAGACAGTCTTGATCTGTTGCCCAGGCAGTAGTGTGATCTCTGCTCACTGCAACCTCCACCTCCCAGGTTTGAGCAATTCTGCCTCAGCCTTTTGAATAGCTGGGATTACAGGCATGCGTCACCACACCTGGCTTATTTTTGTGTTTTTAGTAGAGATGCGGTTTGGCCATGTTGACCAGGCTGGTCTCAAACTTCTGACCTCAGGTGATCTGCCCTGCATCAGCCTCCCAAAGTGCTCGGATTACAACTGGTCTCTCGCTCACTCTCTTTCTGTCTCTCTCTCTCTCTCTGACCCCTCCCTTTCCCTCTTCTTCTCCCTCTCCTTTGCCCGTTTCCTCTCTCTGTCAAAATATCTTATTGTACTCTATTCACCCTTCTTGTGATCTGTCAATCTAATGACCAAGATGGCTCCAAAGTGACTAACAGGTGGGTAGCATATATGGCATATACGGCATGGACAAAGGGATGATTCACATGTCCCATGCAGGTCAGCATGAGATTTCATCATATTACTCAGAATGTTGGGCAGTTTAAAACTTATGAATTATTTATTTCTGGAATTCTCCATTTAATCTTTTTGGACTGTTGGTAACTAAAACTGTGAACTGTAAAACTGTGGATATTGGCCAGGTGCGGTGGCTCAGTGCTTGTAATCCCAGCGCTTTGGGTGGTCGAAGCGAGCAGATCACGATGTCAAGAGTTTGAGACCAGCCTGGCCAACACCGTGAAACCATGTCTCTACTAAAAATAAAAAAAAATTGGCCAGGCATGGTGGCAGGTGCCCATATATAATCCCAGCTACTCAGGAGGCTGAGGCAAGAGAATCGTTTGAACCCAGGAGTCGGAGGTTGCAGTTAGCCGAGCCCACACTGCTGCACTCCAGCCTGGGCAACAGAGCATGACTGTCTCAAAAACAAAAAAACGAAAAACTAGAACTGGGGACTACTGTAATTACTGATGCCATGAAATATTACACATTGATCAGGAGTGGTAGCTCTTGCCTGCAATCCCAGCACTTTGGGAGGCCAACGCAGGTGGATTGCTGAATTCGAGACCAGCCTAGCCAGCATGGTCGAACCTCATCTCTACTAAAAATACAAAAATTAGCTGGATGTAGTGGCAGGTGCCTGTAATCCTAGCTACTCGGGAAGCTGAGGCAGAAGAATTACTTGAACCCGGGGGGCAGAGGTTGCGGTGAGGCCAGCATCAAGGGCTATAAACCAGATTTTCCCTACTCATTTTCATTTTCAACAACACAGGGAAAAAAATGATGGCAAAAAAGATTGAAATGAGGGCAAAACTGGGAACTTTATATGTGTATTTATTTATTTATATTTTATTTTATTTGAGACAGAGTTTCCCTCTTATTGCACTGACTGGAGTGTGATGGTGCAATCTTGGCTCACTGCATCCTCTGCCTCCCAGGTTCAAGCAATTCTACCTCAGCCTCCCAAGTAGCTGGGACTACAGGCATGCACCACCATGCCCAGTTAATTTTATATTTTTCGTAGAGATGGGGTTTCTCCACATTGGTCAGGCTGGTCTCGAACTCCCAATCTCAGGTGATCCTCCTGCCTTGGTCTTCCAAAGTGCTGGGATTACAGGTGTGAGCCACCACGCCCGGCCTATTTATTTATTTTTGAGCCAGAGTCTCGCACTGTTGCCCGCGGTGGAATGCTGTAGCTCAGTCTTGGCTCACTGCAACTTCTGCCTCCTGGGATCAAGTGGTTCTCTTGCCTCAGCCTCCTGAGTAGCTGAGATTACAGGCACCACCACTCCCAGCACAATTTTTTTGTATTTTTAGTAAAGATGGGGTTTTGCCATGTTGGCCAGGATGGTCTGGAACTCCTGGCCCCAGGTGATCCACCCATCTCAGACTCTGAAAGTGCTGGGATTTACAGGCATGAGCCACCATGCTCAGCTCAGAAACATAGATTTTAAAAATAATACTCAAAGTCCAAAAATACTCAGTGGGCATTAGGAAACATAATTCTAATGAAAAGAAATGACAAAAAGAAAAATACAGAGAAGGGCTAGGTGCGGTGGCTCACGCCTGTAATCCCAGCACTTTGGGAGGCCGAGGCGGGTGGATCACAAAGTCAAGAGATCGAGACCATCCTGGTCAACATGGTGAAACCCCGTCTCTACTAAAAATACAAAAAATCAGCTGGGCATGGTGGCACATGCCTGTAATCCCAGCTACTCAGGAGGCTGAGGCAGGAGAATTGCCTGAACCCAGGAGGCAGAGGTTGCGGTGAGCCGAGATTGCGCCATTGCATTCCAGCCTGGGTAACAAGAGCGAAACTGTCTCAAAAAAATACAGAGAAATTGGCCGGGTGCGGTGGCTCATGCCTATAATCCCAGCACTTTGGGAGGCCGAGGAGGGTGGATCACGAGGTCAAGAGATCAAGACCATCCTGGTCAAGAAAGTGAAACCCCATCTCTACTAAAAATACAAAAATTAGCTGGGCATGGGGATGCGCGCCTGTAGTCCCAGCTACTCAGGAGGCTGGGGCAGGAGAATTGCTTGAACCCAGAAGGCGGAGGTTGTGGTGAGCCGAGATCGTGCCATTGCACTCCAGTCTGGGTAATAGCGAAACTCCGTCTAAAAAAATAAAATAAAATAAAATACAAAAAAAGAGAAAAATACAGAGAAATATAAGTTAGCAATGGAATCATAAGTGAATCTCTGAAAAAATCTTTGTTTTTATTAAATATGGAAGGGAGGTTATAGCTTGAAGCCTATTGGAAATATGAATGTGGAGGAAATTGAGTTTGTCAATGACCAGATTTTTATGTCAACTTCCTTTTTTCTCTCCTTTCACTAGTACCATTTAGGACCCTACGTTTTTATTATCTTCATTGGCCTACTCGTTACCTTCTTGGTCTTTACCTTCATCAAACTCCCTGAGACCCGTGGCAGGACTTTTGAGGATATCACACAGGCCTTTGAAGGGCAGGCACATGGTGCACATCGTTACAGGATTAACAGCATCAAGCTTGAGGAGGCCAGTGTCTAAGTCATGCCTCCTTCCGCCTCCCTCCCGGCATGGGAAAGCCACCTCTCCTTGAACGTCGGAGAAACCTCATCAGGATGAACACAGGACGGCTTCTGAATGCTGCTACGTGATTCCTTTCTTATCTCATGCACTCTATGATCACCCCAGGGTTGGGGTTTGTTGGATTTTTTTTTTTTTTTTTGAGACGGAGTTTCGCTGTTGTTACCCAGACTGGAGTGCAATGGCATGATCTCGGCTCACCGCAACCTCCGCCTTCTGGGTTCAAGCAATTCTTCTGCCTCAGCCTCCCGAGTAGCTGGGACTACAGGCGCGCGCCACCATGCCCTGTTAATTTCTGTATTTTTAGTACAGACGGGGTTTCACCTTGTTGACCAGGATGGTCTCGATGTCTTGACCTCGTGATCGACCCTCCTCGGCCTCCCAAAGTGCTGGGATTATAGGAGAGAGCCACCGTGCCAGGCTGAAACTCCCTCTCAAAAAAAAAAAAAAAAAAAAAAAAAAAAAAGATTTGTTTCTGCGCCACCACCGCCCGAGACAAGTTCCGCGATCTTCTCTGACTCTCCTAGCAGCATCCGTCGCGTCTTCCTGTCTTCACAAGCTTCACCTTTTTTTTTCCTCGTTGCTGAGCAACAAGCTTCTTAGCACTATCACGGTCGACTCCGTCCTGCAGCGGGAGCCGCTCGTCCTGGGTGGCCGCCTTGCGCAGCTTGGCTTTTCCTCCCTCGGTTACTTCGGGGCCCTCCCCATGGGGACCACCCCTCCGCCGCCTTTACCCCGGATCCTGGATCCCCAGGGACTGCCCCCGACCCTCTTCCTCCCTCACTTCCTAGGGGGAGTTGGCCCGTGTCTGACCCCCAGCCTCGTGCTCCAGCAGCTCTGCCCAATCGCAGCCTCGCCGTGGCTGGAGGCACCACTCGGGCAGCGCCAAAGAAGCGGCGAAAGAAGAAGGTGCGGGCCAGCAGCTGTCCAGCCGCTTCCACCACTATCGGCAGCACAGGCCAAGTCTGCAGGGCGGCCGGAGCCCGGCCACTGGCCTGAGCAGAGCACAGGACGTCCCGGGCCCAGCCGCCGTCTTTACCCTGGGTGCTGCAGCCGCAACCCGCACTGAAGGAGCCATCCCCTACCTTGCCCCGCTGAGGCCCGCAGCGCCCGACCAACCGCCGCTCAGGAAAGAGGTTTTAAAATCAAAGATGGGAAAATCGGAGAAAATTGCCCTTCCCCACGGCCAGCTTGTTCATGGTATACACTTGTATGAACAACCAAAGATAAACAGAAAAGCAAAATATAATTTGCCACTAACCAAGATCACCTCTGCAGAAAGAAATGAAAACAGCTGGCTGGGCGTGGTGGCTTACACCTGTAATCCCAGCACTTTGGGAGGCTGAGGCGGGTGAATCACGAGGTCAAGAGATGGAGACCATCCTGGTCAACATGGTGAAACCCTGTCTCTTAAAAATACAAAAAAATTAGCTGGGCATGGTGGCCCGTGCCTGTAATCCCAGCTACTTAGGAGGCTGAGGCAGGAGAATTGCCTGAACCCAGGAGGCGGAGGTTGCGGTGAGCCGAGATCGCACCATTGCACTCCAGCCTGGGTAACAAGAGCGAAACTCTGTCTCAAAAAAAAAAAAAATGAAAACAGCTTTTGGCAGGATTCTGTTTCGTCTGACAGAATTCAGAAACAGGAAAAAAAAGCCTATTAAAAATACACATTTGAAGAAATCAGCATTTCCAACTGAAGTTAGCCAAACGGAAAATTATACTGGGGCAAGGTTTAGTGATCCACCTTCTCCTAGTGTTCTTCCAAAGCCTCCTAGTCACTGGATGGGAAGCGCTGTTGAAAATTCCAACCAAAATAGGGAGCAGCTGATGGCAGTACACTTAACGCTCATGAAAGTTCAATCTTAGATTTCATATTTCAGTATGTGTGTAAAACAAAAGTTTTCCCATATCACTGGACTCTTGAGGAAATTGATAGAAATGGAAATTTGCCTTGTTGCAGCATACAGGTGCAAAAGATGAGTTTGAAAAATCACAAACAGGCCGGGCACGGTGGCTGACGCCTATAATCCCAGCACTTTGGGAGGCTGAGTCGGGTGGATCACGAGGTCAAGAGATCGAGACCATCGTGGTCAACAAGGTGAAACTCCGCTTCTACTAAAAATACAAAAATTGGGCCAGGCGCGGTGGCTAACGCCTATAATCCCAGCACCCTGGGAGGCTGAGACAGGAGAATTGCTTGAACCCAGGAGGCGGAGGTTGTGGTGATCCGGGATCACGCCATAGCACTCCAGCCTGGGTAACAACAGCAAAACTCCATCTCAAAAAAAAAAAAAGAAAAATTAGCTGGGCATGGTGGTGTGCACCTGTAGTCCCAGCTACTTGGGAGGCTGAGGCAGGAGAATTGCCTGAACCCAGAAGGCGGAGTTTGCAGTGAGCCGAGATTGTGCCATTGCACTCCAGTCTGGGTAACAACAGCGAAACTCTTGTCTCAAAAAAAAAGAAAAAAAATCACAGACAGCTTGTATTATATTTTATATTTTGTAAATACTGTATACCATTTATTATGTGTATATTGTTAATATTTGAGAGGTATAGTTTTGTTATAGAAGTATGTATTTTGCCCTACCCACATTGCAGGTGTTTTGTACATATACAATGGAGAAATTTTAAGTGTGTGCTAAGGCACAGGGAAGACTGATTTATTTGCACAAGGTACTGATATTTTTTTCAAGAAACAGCTGTCAGATCTCAAGGTGAAGACCTAAAGGTGAAGTTTACTAATGCATTACTGAAGTTTAAATCTGAGGCACAATCAGTGTAAGCATGGGGTTTGTTGCTCTAAATTGATTTCTAATCTGAAATTACTGGAAAACTCCTATTCCTATTTTTGCCAAACTCATTTTCTGGTTTTTGGTATATATCCATTCCAGCTTAATGCCTCTAATTTTAATGCCAACAAGATCGGTTATAATCAAATTTTAAAATAATAATAATTTGGCCCCCCCTTTTGAAAAAAAAAAAAAGGCTGGGTATGGTGACTGTGGCTCATGCCTATAATCCCAGCACTTTGGGAGGCGAAGATGGGTAGATTAACTGAGGTCAGGAGTTCAAGACCAGCTGGCTAACATGATGAAGCCCCGTTTCTACTAAAAATACAATAAATTAGCTAGGTGTGATGGCGCACACCTGTAATCTGAGCTACTCTGGAGTCTAAGGTAGGAGAATTGCTTGAACCTGGGAGGTGGAGGTTGCACTGAGCCAAGATCACACCATTGCACTCTGGCTTGGGCAACAAGAGCAAAACTTTATCTCAAAAAAAATTTTTTTTTCTAAATAGAGGTGAGGGTCTTGCCATGTTGCCCAGCCTCCTTGACTCAAAAATCCTCCCACACTGGCCTCCCAAAGAGCTGAGATTACAGGTGTGAACTGCCACACCCAGCCAATTTCAGTAGACTTTATGGTCATGAAAATGAATTTAAAATTTTTACAACGTGCTTTTGATTCTGATTTTACTGTGCATAAGTATTGTTTGAGTACCTCTAAGAAATTCATATTCTTGGGCCATCAAACTCAGGGATTTTGATTTCGTATATAGTAATTATGATTTCTTAGAATCTGCATGTAAAGGCCAAGTGCCATGGCTCATGCCTGTAATCCCAGCACTTTGGGAGGCCCAGGTGGACAGATCACCTAAGGTCAGTTTGAGACCACCCTGGCCAATATGGCAAACCCCAGTTCTACTAAAAATACAAAAAAATTAGCCAGGCATAGTGGCATGTGTGTCTAATCCCAGCTACTTGGGAGGCTGAGGCAAAAGAATCGTTTGAATTCAAGAGGCTGAGGTTGCAGTGAACAGAGATCTCGCCACTGCACTCCAGCCTGGGCAACAGAGCAGGACTTCGTTTTAAAAAATTAAAAAAAAAAAAAAATGCATAAAAAAAAAAAGTTGCCAGGCAAGGTGGCTCACACCTGCAATCCCAGCACTTTAGGAGGTCAAGGTGGCCGGATGATGAGGTCAGGAGTTTGATACCAGCCCGGTCAACATAGTGAAACCCCATCTCTACTAAAAATACAAAAATCAGCCGGGCATGGTGGCAAGAACCTGTAGTCCCAGCTACCCAGGAGGCAGAGGTCACAGTGAGCCAAAATCTCGCCATTGCACTCCAGCCTGGGCAACAAGTGCAAAACTCTGTCTCAAAAAAAAAAAAAAAAAAAACTTGCTGGACGCAGTGGCTCATGCCTGTAGTCCCAGAACTTTGGGAGGCCAAGACGAATGGATCACAACTTCAACAGTTGGAAACCAGCCTGACCAACATGGTGAAACTCGATTTCTACTAAAAATACAAAAATTGGCCAGGCACGATGTGCCTGTAGTCCCAGCTACTCAGGAGGCTGAGGCAGGAGAATCGCTTGAATCTGGGAGGTGGAGGTTGCAGTGAGCTGAGATCCACCATTGCACTCCAGTCCAGGCTACAGACTCCGTCTCAAAACAAAACAAAACTTCAAGTTATCTAATATAGTTGTTGAAGAAGAAAAAAAACCTTCAAATACCGTTTTGATAAGGGTGGTATACCTGAGCCAGGCACAGTGGCTTACATCTGTTATCTCAAAACTTTGGGAGGCCAAGGCAGGTTGATTGAAGCCAGGAGTTTGAGATCAGCTTAGCCAACATGGCAAGACCTGTCTCTACAAAAAATGTAAAACTTAGCAGGGCATGATGGTATATACACAGTTCCGGCTATTTGAGAGGCTGAGGTTGGAGAATTGCTTAAACCGTGTTTGCACCACTGCACTCTAGCCTGGGTGACAGAGAGAGCTCCCCAACCATCTCAAAAAAAAAAGTAGGGAGAGGATGGTATAAGAGGGTAAACTAGAGAAACATATAGGAGAGGCGAATGTGAGCCTTTAAAAGCTTTGAGAAGTAACAAATTTGCATTTTAGATTGCTGTCCCTGTACTAGAGGAATAAATTGGAAGGTTGCAAGACCAGAGATTAGTCTATTGTAATGATTATGCCTATTTATAAAGGCCTAGATTAGGATGCATTGGGAAACAGTGTATTGCAAATGACAAAAAAGGCGATGATCGAAGTATGATTTCACAGCCGGACCGGTGGCTCATGTCTGTAATCCTATAACTTTGGGAGGTCTAGGCGGATGGATCACTTGACGTCAGGAGTTTGAGACCAGCTTGGCAAATAATGTAAAACCCCCCGTCTCTACTAAAAATACAAAAAAATTAGCTGGATATGGTGATGGGCGCCTGTAATCCCAGCTGCTCAGGGGACTGAGGCAGGAGAATCATTTGAACCTGGGAAGCAGAGGTTGTAAGCAGAAATCGAGCAACTGCACTCCAGCCTGGGCATCAGAGCAAGACTCCATCTCGAAAAAAAAAGAGTATGATTTCATGAATCATATCCAAAGATAATTTTTTTCTTTTCCTTTTTTTTTTTTTTTTTTTTTTTGGAGACAGAGTTTTGCTCTGTCTCCAAGGCTGTGGTGCAGTGGTGCCATCTCTGCTCACCGCAATCTGTGCCTCCCAGGTTCAAAGGATTCTCCTGCCTCAGCCTCCTGAGTAGCTGGTATTACTTGCAGGTGTGCACCACCACCACCTCACCCCCAGCTAATTTTTTTCGTATTCTTAGTAGAAACGGGGTTTCACCATGTTGGCCAAGATGTGACCTCAAATGATGCATCCACCTGCCTCAGCCCCCCAAAGTGCTGGATTTACAGGCATGAGCCACCAAGCCCAGCAGGAAGAGAATTTTTTTCTTAGGTTTACAGTGTTTTTAAGGAGGGAAAATATTGTGAAAAAACCTGACAGGAAATGTACTCAATAGTCAATTGATGTTGAAGCATTAACTATATTTAAAAGGTACATTAGTCCCACAGTGAGTGAGTTCCAAAATTATTCATTTTCATTCCTTTTTTTTGAGTTCCAAAATTACTAAAGTTCAGTTGCTCTATTAGGATGGAAGCAGGAGTCTTGTAAAGTCGAGTCTAATCATCGTTTGAGTTACACCTTAATATGATTGGTCCTAGGGAGAAATTAGCTTGACCACCCCAGTGGAGATTCCAGATGACAAGTGAGGCCCCTTAGTGCAAAGAGC